AACTCTAAACAGAGCAACAAATACCATAATTCCACATGTATAATACAGATTTTTTCTAAAAAACATAATAACCAAAATTATGGGTGCGTATTATGCATAGCTACAAAAAATCTTTTAAAAATTTCCATTTCATAGGTTGATTTCAGTTGTGAAATGACTACTCACCACAAATATGGAACAATTTGACACCAGCATTTGCTGATTGCAACCCCATAAGGATGTCAAATACAATCATATGTACCTAACAAAACTTACAAATGTAAAATAAAATAAGAATTATCATAAAAGTAAATTAGAATATTATTATTCTATGTTTAAAACCATTTTTTTTTTTAAATAAAAGTAGGAAACACTGGCCATAATGAAATTGGAGAAGTACAATATATAGGGTTTTATTACCAAACAAGGGGTGCGTATTATGCATGAGTAGAAGCATTTTCCCATATTTTCAGCACAATTTTAGTGGGGAGTATTATGGATAAATGCGTATTATATATAAGGAATTACGGTAATTAAAAAGAAAGAAAAGTTTTATGCTACATTTGGTGACTAACAAATACTCATAGTATATAGAATTATTAATATTATTCCCCATGTATAATACACATTTTTTTTCTAAAAAATGATAAGCAAAATTAGGGGTACGTATTATGCATAGCTACAAAAAAAAAATCTTTACAAAATTTCCATTCCATAGGTTGATTTCAGTTGTGAAATGACTACTCACCACAAATATGGAACAATTTGACATCAGTATTTGCTGATTGCAATCCCATAAGGATGTCAAATACAATCATATGTATATTAAGAAATGGACAAAGTCCGACAATTTATTTATTAAAGACATTTAAAAATGTCTTTAATAAATAAATAAATTAATAAATAATAAATTAATAAATAAATAAATTGTCGGACTTTCTCCATTTCTTAATATATGACATCATTTGTTTACATTTGATACGCCAGAGCAGTTATGAATGTACGAGATTCATGGAAGATTGAAGTTTATAAGCAGTAAATTCGACCTTGTCTACCGAACACTCCTTTGTGGCCGATCGGATAAGGCACGTCAGCGTAAATGACGGTTCCGTATAGGATGCAGGTTTGAATCCTGTCAAAGGACGAATATTTTCTATGAAAATTTCTCGGACATTCAGGCCGGTAAATGTTATTTAATACTGTTTATCATAAACAGAGCATTTACTTAAATACTTGTATCTATAAAAAACAACGTTAAACATAAAAATGTCTTTAATAAATACAATCATATGTAACTAACAATAATCACAAATATAAAATAAAATAAGAATTATCATAAAACTAAATTAGAATATTATTCTATGTTTAAAACCATTTTTTTAAATAAGAGTTGCAAAAACATGAAACTGGCCAAAATGAAATTGAAAGGTATTAATATACATGAGTAGATATATTTTATATACTTTTCAGCATAATTTTAGGCAAATTTATTATTATGGATTAAATTTATTATAAATGGGAATTTATGCAATATATTCAATATTATCAAATAACAACCAAGAAGTTTAAATACAAAAAAAATAGGCAATGCTTTTATTCAAAGGTGGAATACAATGATTGAGAAGGAAAGACACTATGTTTAGAACTAGATTTGGAATCCCATGACTCAATGAAACATGGCACAGTGGACAGGACCCAAAGAGTGTGAGTTCAATACCTGGTTAAGGCAGTGGAGAACTCTCAGGAGGAAATTAACAGGAGATAACTGATAACTGACATCCATTAAACATAAAATATTTTGGAACTAGAACAGTCTACCCCAGTAAATTTGAAATAAAGGATTAAGTTCGACATTTCAACCACCTGAAGAAGTCTGGACATACAAATGGTTTTTAAACAAAAATAAATATGGTGACAAAGAAAATTACAATAGTCTGAATAATGTAAACTTTTTTGTACATAATACCTCATCTCAGAAATATAGACAGATCCTGAGACTTTTGTGGTTATTTTGGTATGATTTGCAAACTTTTGCAATTAAATCTATTGTGATTAATAAAGAACAGGCATTAAGTTTTATCTGACCTTTATACCACATTTAAGGAAGGAAGGTGACATGGAAATTTACAGATTTTTTATTTCAACTGACCCTCATAACAGATTTCAAAAGAAAAGAGACACTGACCTTTAAACTCCAGAGACTTTTGTGATCATTCTCTTATGATCTGTATGCTTAAATCTGTTGTAATTACAGAAGAACAGGCATTAAGTTTTGACTGAACCTCATGCCACATTTAAGAAAATATCATTGAAATCCAGAGGTTTGTGTGTTCATTTTGTTATGTTTTGTGTGAGTCTAATATTAAATCAGCTTTAATCAAAGAACAGTTAGAAATCAAGTGCCATACATGATACACACTTGATTGATCACAGTCTCTTTTAATTAATAACTGACTAGGTAGTAGATTTTCCTAAAGTAGGCTATCATTTCTTTCTGCAGCTAACTGGTTACTAACCAAATCTATAGGGCCCAGTCTGTTCTGCTATTTAACCCATATCTGGGGGAAAAGATACTTATTTATACATTTCCCAAGCGTATTTGTGCATAAATATATATATATATATATATATATATATATATATATAAAATCTCTGATTTTTTCAGAACATTATGTTGTTATCCATTACATGACCGAAATTTTTTTTACAAAAAAAAAATGAATAATTTGATGAATATTCATGGACATGTTTTTTGTTTTTCCATTTATTAATGAAAAATGGGCAGAATGATGATGGTAGACACGTTCAAATGTACAAATACTGGCAAAAAAAAATGAAACTGACTTTATTTTAAGGATCTTTCAATTGATTCTAAGACGATAAGACGTTTGGTATTATATTTTATCTGATGGATGTGAAACTTAGATAGAAATGGACAAACCAAAAGAAGAATAAACAAACAACATATATATATATATATATATATATATATATATATATATATATATACACACACACAAACAAACAAAGGGAGCTTCATATTGTAATTTTGAGATTCTAATAACTAGCTGATAATATGGATGAGCCAACAGAATAGTATTCAAGTAGATTTCAAATTCCAGTCAAGGCCATTGCATTAACATTCATACAGATGCCCTTAGAAAAATATAGTAACCAGTCTAGAAAGAATAACATAAAGAAAGCAAAGGGTTGGGCATGGGAAACAATTTTATATGAAATAAAACATGCTATGGAAACAAAAGCCACAACACCTACCATGATGAGGCTCTGGCACTGTACACTGTACATAGTATAAAGGTTTATCTGTCTGATCAATTGATACCAGTTGATAACATCAAACAAACACAGAAAAATTGTAACAATTTATATTCATTGTAATAAACAACTTTACACCATAAAAAGTAATATGAAATGATATTTTTACACTATTTACAGTATTTTGGGTCTGATTTTGTTAATATTCATACTTATAATAATTGGTTGGCTGATTTCTTTTAAAAAGAAAAATCAACCTCTAAAATATTTTTGAAGACAATTTTATGGCTTCAATCTACAAATAAAATGTATTGTAAAATAAAATGTTATTGTTATTATTTTAAATTATAAATAGGTACAAGAAAGTTTTTTATATAATAATGAAAGAAAGATTTCACGAATAAAAATTTATTTTTAACGTCTCAAATATTTTTGTTTGGGAACTATTTGCCCATAGCCGGGACCTTAACAGGCACTACTAAACCTCAGGTTAGGGTAGATGAATGGGAACAAAACTGCAAAAAGAGGTGGTGAAACCATTGTTTCTTTCAAAATCTCCAGTACCCTGTTCAAATCTTTTCATGAAATTATAGTTTATCATCATACACAAGGCTAACAATTATAATAAAAAAATTTTTTGTGTATACACATACACACATTATATATATATATATATCTCATTGAATAATTTAGATAAGTTTTGTCTACTTATTTTCAATAGGATCCTCTCATATTCATGGACAAGGTTCTTAGTATACTTATTAAAGGAAGAGAAAAATTATCCTGTTGATACATATTCATTTATTCCCAGTATTTTCATCATTAGCACAATGTCATCATATAAAAAAAAAATCTCAACACCCCATGTAAAAAAAAAATTGAAACTCTTCCGCACCCCAATATGCAAAATAGCTATTACTGTACCCTCAAATAAATATTAAAAGTATTTTATTACTCAACATAAAAGATTTAAACTTTTCAGCACCCCCCAAAAAGAAAGTATTTTAGCTTTACATATGCGAAAAGGCTATTATAGCACCCCATATAAATATTAAGAATCATTTCAACATGAGATTTAAAGTTTTCAATGCACCATATAAAGAGAAATGTTTTCAGCACCCAGAAACAAAATAAATTATTACAGCACCTCATAGAAAAATTAAAAATTTTTTACCTCTCAACATAAAAATTTTAAACTTTTCAGCACCCCACATAAAAACAAATTTTTCAGCACCCATATGCAAAAAAAAGCGTTCATATAAATATTTTTTCAGATTGACCTATCATAAGGTTCTGTCTGAGCCAGTCTTTTGAACAGAATAAAAGAGGGTTATCCCTTGTTTCTGTTTAACCTTGGGTTTCTAGTTCATTATAAAGTGATGCCAACAGCTCTATACTCCCTAATGCATGTCCTTTCCTATGCTAATATAACTCCCTATTGTCACCCTCTACCTTGAGTGTCTCTTGGGCATTGTATTGGGTAAATATTAGAAAAAAAATAAACAAACATTTCAGCAAAAAAGATTTAAACTTTTCAGCACCCCATATACAAAAAGTGTATTACAGCACCCCATATAATTATTAAAAACATTACAAAACTCAACATAAGATTTAAACTTTTCAGCACCAAAACGAATACAAATATAAATATATATATATATATATATATATATATATACACACACACACACTTTTCAACATCATCTCATATAAAAAAAGAAAAAAGAACCAATGTGATAACTAAC